CCGAAAGTTCAGCGGACACATAACTCAGTTCGGTGAGCGCTAACGTGATCCCTCATTTTAGACGATATTACGATTGCTTTCAGCGATATGCAGCCTAGACAGGAACAGATGTTTCTCATTAACAGGAGCAGAAGCCAGGTTTAAAGGAGTAGGAGTGGTCATTTACAGTTAAACGCTTAGACTAAACTCGTTAGAACATACTAGCAGGTGTGTATGGTAGCCGCTGGTCTATCCTCCTGGCCGCCTTTACAGTTGACGGTAGCTGCAGCCAAGCCATGTCCTGTCGGCTGTTATTTCAAACTTTTTAAACTTTAGTTGCTGAAGAGGCCAGTGACGAAGCAGTAGGATGGGAACCCCTGGCTCAGTTGTAATACTTGACTTAACCCTCGTTGACCTCTGGTCGGTTTATGATGATAGCATACAAATCTAAAGTGTCCAGCCAGGTTTCTTCTTTTGGTAAAGCTTCTCAATCCTTGACTGCTGTGCCGCCGCGAGAATCATCCGCGACTGACTAGTAGACATGGCTTCTGCGAGGACTTGCTACTTCGGCTCAAGGCTGGAATTCGACTTCAGAGAACCTAGTAAACGTTGTTGGTAGGCTTCTCATAAATAGTGTTGTAAGTTACCGTTAAATTCCGCCTGCCCTTAGACCCTCTGTTCTTGCCATTGGGGTGGTTATCTACATTCGTCGCAATGACTTGTCAGAGCATTCATCGATTAACAGCAATTCTGTGTCCTCCAACCACAGTTTGCGTCATGTCGAATCGCGTCGGACTGCGTCTTTTTCCTTTAGACAAGAAGTTCGAGCTTGGCACTCACAGCCGAAGGTGCAAATAACGCCCTGTCGAAGTCAGTAAATTGTTCGCGGGTGGCTCCAAATTATCTAGACTCGCACTTAAAACGTTTCTAAGATTACAATTAGGTGTCCTTTCGCTTTCACAGAAATTTAGAGTATTTACCTTCTCGAGGATCTATGGAGGTCACACCTCTAGGGACATGGCAGCAAACCACAAACTCTCATGTTCGTCTCATCGGCTGTTTTGTATTAGTACGGGCACTGGCGCCCAAATTCTTGACCGCTCAATCGTTGATCGCAGCGTAGTCACCTGAAATATAATAAAAGTCCCCACTATTTGCTTTAAACGCTTTTCCCGCTCGGAAGGAGTTGGCTCTTGTGGTAGTTAAAATAAATACACTACTAAAGCGCGCGCACAAGTCGACGTCGGACTAGGTTTAGTTGAATAATGCTCACGGATCATTAACGAAACTCGCCCTTTCCGTTCACCTTTGAGACCCACTTTCCGCTCGCGCAAGCAA